TACATTTCGGATTTGAATAGCTGCTTGGGTAGTTACATACACTGGTGCTAAACTACACGCGCCAATGATTGGAACATGTACAAACATGTATCTGCACATACGAACATAGACAAACTTATGTCTCAATCTATCGATCGATGATCTCCCTGTCTCTCGGCCCAGAATCAACCTATGCATCTATTTACATATCTGTCTACCTGCCAGTCTAACGATCCATCATCTATTTGTCTGTCTACCCATCTCTCTATATCCATGTACCCATCTATCTATCTATCCATCTATCTATCTTTCTTTATATCTATCTCTTGATCTATCTAAACACAACTATCTAACTGACCGTCTATTTTCAACTGGCTGTCTAACTATATTACGATCCTTAGGTCTATCTAACTAGCTGCCTGTCTGTTTGCCTATCTATATAATTGTCTATCTGTTGAAGCCTATCTATTCCTACCTGAATCTACCTAGATCTATCTCAATCTGTCCAAAATATATCAAAACCTATCTATTCATTTTAAAACTGGTCAATACGAGTATCTTTCTACATCTTTCTATATCTTCCTATATCTCTATCTATCTCTGTCTTTTGTGCATCTATCTCGAACTACCTCTAACCATCTATATATCTATATCTATATCTACCTTTCTCTATATGTACTATTTCTCGTTATCCCCCTATCTCTCTCTCTCTCTATCATCACTAGCTCCATCTCAATCTCTATCTCTCTATCTATCTGTCCAGATCTACCCATCTATCTATCTATCTAAGGATCGATCTATCTATCTGGTTGTTCCTCTATCTCTCTTATTTGTCTGTCTATCTGTCTATCTGTCCATCTAGGAACCTCTCTCCATATATCTCTCTGTGTCTATCTCTCTATCTTTCTATCTGTGTATCTATCTATCTGTATCTGTCTGTCTGTCTATCTATCCCTCTGCCCCTATCTGTCTACTTGTCTATCTATCTATCTATCGATCCATCCATCTATCCATCTATCGAGCTGTCTACCTACGACAACAAGTACGACGACGACCACGGCGGAAACAAAAGTGGACGGTAGCAGTCTCGGGATGCTTGTTCCTACTTTTGCTGTCACCTACCCCACAAGTCCGAGTTTAGGGTTTAAGGTTTGATGTATCAAATAGACCCTAAACCCTGAACCACAAGCCTGAACCCTAAATAGACTATAGTCTTTCAGACCTGAAGCTCTACCATTTCGGCACCTGGACCCTTAAGAAGACCTTGAGGCAAGACTGCGCCTTGGTGGCTCTGTTTCAGAAATGTGAACACCCCAGTGCTTGCTGCTTGTTCGTGCCTTTGCAGAAGAGTTTAGGGCTTTGGGATTGGGGGTTCGGGCTTGGAGGTGAGGCTAAGGCTGTGAGCCCACTGTTGGAACGCATCCTTCCTTATCTCAGCACTGAAATTCTTGAGGGAACCTGCTGCAGGCAACCCTTGCGATCCTTGTCCTTTCCACGATCCTGGAAAAGACCTGCGAGCCAGCGTTTGCGGTTTGCCTATAGTCTCCACTGTAGTTCCATTTTGGGGGGTTTCTTTTGGGATCCTAAATACAAACTGGGCTGAACCAAAAAAAGGGAACTACAATGGAAACTGCGGGTAGGTTTGGGCGACGGCAGGGGAATGTAATGGGCCGCGGCCAGGCATTCAACATGGCAGACTAACCCCAAAGCCTAAACCCTGACCACAGCGCTTGACGAAGTTAACCTAAACTCGCACAGTCTATGAAGCAAGTGCTCGAAACCCGTACGACCTGAGAACGTAACAGCATGCCGCTCAACCCCAAAACCACAATCCTTAAACTCCTAAGCTCTGAAAAATTAACCATATAAAGACCCAGAAACCCTACACCCTACCAGAAATTTTGGTGGAGGACGTGGGCGATAGAATCGGGGAATGGTCCGGATTTAGGGGTCAGGGTTTACCTATTCGGGGGTTGCAGGCTTTTTGTCTTGAGCCTGGCAACTTGGGCTGTACGACGCCCGACAATATTTAGAATTTAGAAACCAAGCGGCTATAATGTAGGGGCCTTAATAATTAGAACAGAGTTTTCGTATATTAGATTAGAATTGTAGGTTACGGGATCGAAGTCTACCCCTACGTTTTGCATCGAAGAGGCCTACCTGAACTGCCGGAAACACAGGGGTAGACTTCGACCCCGCAACCTCTAATTATTGCCCATAGGCCCCTCTAAGTAGTTCCTATTTGGGGATTTCCTTATAGGATTTTAAACATAAGCCATAAAAAGGAACTACTTAGGGGCCCATGGGTAAGGCTCGAACCATAGGCTTGAAATTACATTACAGGGACGTCAGCAGTGCTTCAGAGGCATGGGCAGGGATGCAGCGGTACTATAGAAGCCTAAATACTTACCAATAGTATATTTTAGTGGCTCCTTGGTATAATTCGGTTTAGGGGTAAGTTATACTATAATCCATGGGATATTCATATGGGGTCCTTTCCTCCTTTGGTTGGCCGGACCGTGTCCTTGACCCCAAGCGGCATTTGGCGTGATAATTCTAACAAAGAACCCTCAAGAAAGTATAGGTAGCTAGGTTGGCCCCTCAAAGCCTCTCAAAAAAAAATCGTAAATAAGATCCTCTTAAGCTCAATAAGGGAAAATATAAAATGTCCCAAAGGCCTACCTAGGTAGTTTTTCAGGCCCCTACATTAGACACCCACGCTGATCTTCCCAAGTGCTGGGTAAGACCCGACGAGACCCCACAGATCCTGTAGGACTGGGTTTAGGGTTTTGGGGTTTAGGGTTTAGGGGTTTAGGGGTTTAGGGGTTTAGGGGTTTAGGGTTTAGGGGTTTAGGGTTCAGGGCGAAGCTTAAGGTGTAGGTGAGCCCGTACAGTGTAATTAACCCTCAACATCCCCAAACCGCCAACCCAGGACCCCGAACCCTGGAACACCAAAGCCTCTAGCGGCCTTGAGGCGTATTTTTTGGGCATCCTCGCGATGCCTCATCCGGGTTCTTGTTCAGGAGCTTACCATACCTATCCCTATTATTTACTTGTAGATCCCTATCATGGCTACCAAAGTTAATTCGGAAACCCTACAATTCACGATAGATTCCCATTGTGCTAACTTAATCACACAGTTTAAAATTTAAAATGAAGCTCCTTGCAAGAGCCCCTAAACCCCAAACCCTATAAACAAGCTTGTGGTAACTTAATTAAATAGTTCTTGACAAGAGCCCTAGCCCCTAAACCCTAAACCCTAAGCCCTAAACCCTAAACCCTAAACGAGCTCCTCAACAAGAGCCCAGCTAATCTGGCTCAGATCAGAGAGCTTTCGTCTCCAAGTGAAGGAAGCCGCTGCCCGCCGCCTGCCTGAAAAAGTTTATAGGGTTTACCTGGACCCCAGAAGTATGTAGAATAATAGCCTTTTGTAGGTTTTGGGCCATTGTTTCACCTACTTTTGGGGGTTGAGGGCTTATTTTTTTAAGCTATACTCTTCTATAAAAATTCCTGCGATTCGGATTCCGTCGGGTTCTGTTTTTGTGGCTGATGGATTTAGGGAATTAGGCCCTTAGCCTTGAGCCTATGCCAAGGTTTCGGCTTAACCCGTGAAGCCGCAGAAACCCCTCGAACACAAACCACCAAGGCACCTTCACGGCAGTTTCTCAACCGGGGAATCGCACACCCTACATCCCTATATAAGGCCTGAAGACCCGGGACCCGATCCCGGCTAAGATTCGAGGAAGGTGGGATGCAAAGATTCGGCCTTTCAACAAAAAGGCAGGTAAGATTTCAACACCCACCAAGTTTTTGCAAGTTTGTTTGTAGGTCACCGCGTGAAGGCTTATAGGCCTTGCGCTTCCTTTATGCCAATGCCGCCAGAGTCCCTTTCCTTGGGGTTTCGATTGGGATTCAGCATTCTTGAGCTGTGAGGGTCTGGGGCTGGGCCAGGGTTCGAAACACGAACTCAGATGTACGCTTTTCTGCTTCTGCTTTTTGAACTCTCAAGATGTTGCCTGGGTATACCGAACAAGACGAGGGTCAGGTTGCAGGGTTCCGAATTTCAGTGCGGTGTGAAGAGATCCCATTGGGGAGTACAAGAGGGCTGGGTCACCTCGAGCATTTCGACACCTCTTTTGACGTCCAACGGAGAAGTCCCTTATCCAAGAGAGCGCAAGGGGAGGATCGGAGAGACAAAACAGAGAAAAGAAGCCGAGAGCTATCAGTTGGGTGTAGGATTCCCCAGTACTCTCTACCAATCTCCCGATTGCTAAAAGCACTCTCCCTCTCCCAGGAGTAAGGGTCCTCAAAATCCTCAAGCCTTATAGAATTCTTTGTGGACCCATGGAATACCCTTGACAACAGTACAGAGAGCGGGCACTAAACCGCAAGCCCAAAACACAACTTGAAAACCGCCACAGTCCTTTTCAAATCTAACAAGCACCCTAAATTTTGCAAAAAAGACCCTGAAATTAAATAAAAGCTAAAGCCATAAAGGCCAGGCCTTCCCACGTGGCACAGTTTCGGCCAGGGGGACGGCAGCAGGCAGCGACGGAGCTGCTGACGGCGGCGACGCCGTTGGTGAACTGACCACTGCTTCTGGGTTTAGAGGGTTACGGTTAAAGACGTTCCATAGATCTCTAATGGGTTTGTCGGCTTTTCATAGGGGAGCTTGGAGACTCGTGCAGCTTGCGCTTACAGGGGTCTGCCGTAGTGGTAGTGGCGGTCACAGTGGCAGTGGTGGTGGTGGTAGTAGTAGTAGTAGTAGCAGTAGTAGTAGTAGTAGTTGTTGTTGTTGTAGTAGTAGCAGCAGCAGCAGCAGCGCGCAGCGGCAGCAGTCCCCTACACGCCCTGTTTGATCGTGGATCGAACTATTACTTCTGCTACTGCTATTCCTACTGCTACTGCTACTGCCTTGCAAGGCCGCCGTCCAGCTCCACGTTCAGGCTCAAGACCTGAAGGCGTCGCCACTGCCGGTGCTGACGAGAGACCTCCTTGTGAAGTGCACTGAGGACAAGAACTGGCACCGGATAGCCGAGCAGGTCGTAGTCTCCTCCGAACTCCATTGGAAGTCTTCGCACACTGCAGTACTAGCCGATGAAAAGCCACGCTCCTGTTTCATCCACATAGCCTCCCATGACCACCATACCAGCATAGGGACTCGAGCCCGAGTTGCTGGAGTTGTGGGCGTTGTAGGCCTTCAAAGCCACCAAGGTGCAGGGTGCGGAGGGAGTTGCGGAGAGGAGGGCCCTCGAGCCTGGAAAAGCTTGTTTGCACAGGTGGCGCCAAGGCTGTGCCCAGCCAGCCACAAATTCTCGGAGTCGTTTGTCCGATTCCAGCCCTGCTTCGCAGCGGCGGAGAGCGCCGCCTGCAAGTCACAGCGTTTCGAGTCTGACGGTGGTGCGCCTCTGTCCAGCTCTCCACCTCCACTGCCGAGTGCAGCGGGGAGCAGAGCCACGTCGCAGCACAGCTGATGATGCAGAGGTTTTGGAAGACGGTCGGCACCACCTGGCGCCGGCGTGTCACACCCAAATAACATCTACTTCGCAACGGATTGATCGACCCAAAAGTACCGAGGTTCCTGCCAGCCACAGGCTCAAACCTTTCTGCGCGGCAGCGTCCTTTGCCATGCTACGCCCGTAACCAGGAGCACACAAGCCGCGTCCTGCCTGAATTGCTTGGGCGGTCTGCTGGTAGTGATGATTTGGTACATTCGCCCCTGGAATAAGCACCTCAGGGGCTCAAGAACAGCGGATCTCCATTCCTCCAGCATTATGACTGAGGAAGTACCAGCGGAGTCTTAGCTGTCGCGCCGAGGTTCCATCATCTTCCGTGATTTGCCAGCCTGCCGCAGGCACACACAAACGCAAACGGGGACAAAGCCTCAGAGATTCCTGCCTCGGCTTCCCCTGGCTTCAGGACGATGGGCTCATGCGCTTGCGCAAGGACGCCCAGCGCAACCAGCAGCAGACATCGCAGCGGCCCGAAAGGCTGCATGGCGCAGACGCCAGAGCACAAGAGCAATGGGAGCAATGTAGCGCAAGCGCGCAAAACCAAGCCAACGCAGGCAGTCTATTTGGATCAGGAGGGGGATTGTATGAGAGATGGTTCCGACAGGACGCGTTAGGATGGTTTGCGGGCCGAAGAGCTCTGAGAATCGCAACTCTTGGCCCAGTCGGACGACGCAAGCGCCAAAGGTGCGTGTCGAGACGGAGGCTGAGGGAGACACGGAGCCGAGGCGGCCGAGGGCGCAGAAGGCACCTCCAGGACAGTGGCAAGGCAGTTTGCGGTCACAAGGAAAAGGACTCCTTTTTCCTGCGAAAGCCGCACCTCGGGAAGACAAATGTCGAAGGTTTGGAGAAATCTGCGCGATGCCTGTCACTGAAATTGCACACCGGCGGATCAAGCACCAGCCTCACCTGCCCAAATCGACAACGACAAAATTGCAGAGCGGGACATGCGCCTGCGGAGGCGTCATAGACAGCCACAAGGATGCACCGTGCAGGGAACCATCAGGATCCAGCCAAACCTGCACAGGCCGCGGTGAAGGAAGCACTCGAACGCAGAAACGCCTAGTAACTTTGGCTTAGTAGTAATAATATAGTATAATATAGTATCATATAGTATAATATAGTATCATATAGTATAATATAAGCACGACTGTCCCGACTTTCCACGTGCCGCCTCCTCGCCCAGAAGGGCGCGTAGGGCGTGGTCTGCCAGCACCGGCAAAACGGGTCCTGCACGTGGCTGGGCCCAATTTGAGGACCCTCGGCCTCTCCAATGGACATGCAGCTGAAGTGATGGGGGGGGGGGGGTGCACGAATGAGGGACAGGGAACAACACCTCTGACACCAGGAAACTTCCCAAGACTCAAGATGACTCAAGCAGGGATGCAAGAGGTGCTTGCTAGTCTTTGCATGTCTTCGCCACGAAAGACGGTCTCGTTGGTACAAGTGATCCAAACAAGTTTGCTCAGAGTCAGCAGGATGCGGAGCTGGGGCACACACGTGCAGCGGGCTCTCGTGCAGCTGTACACAGATATGCACATGCAGTCACATGCAGCTATTGCTATGATGTCCCGATGAACGATCTCCTGTGTTTGGTTTCGAGATCGTCCAGCTACTTGCACCGACTGCCATGGACTTTGGTACATCGAGAATGGAGTAGGTAGCAAAGCTAGCAACGTGCACGAGGGAAGCTCGCATACCCCAGGACCAAATTTGATTCTACAAGGCTTGCAAAACACTCGGTGAGAAACATTGACTGCATATCGGGGGATCAGGCAAGACTTCGTGCGCACGGTGGCTCCTGACGGATCTTCTGCCGGCGCTTCCTTGAAATTGTGCGACAAGGTTAAACATACAGCAGCTGTCACAGCGCCCCTATGGTATTAAGCTGCAGTGCACCTCTGGAAGATGCGAAGCCGGTGATCTGCAAGGCCGCTCAGAAGCAAGCACACAAGCGACTGAGCACGACTGAGCACTACTTTCGACGCCTGTCTTCAGCCTGCGCCGCAACATCCCGAGTGGATGTTGTATCCTCTGCAGCTCAGAGGAGATCTCCCAGGACGCTCCGGCAGAATCTCCGCCATGTCCTTGGGAGCTTCCTTGGAGCTCTGCCAAGCATGACTCCAGGACAGGAAGCAATCGACGAGCATCAGCCGATCGTCCTGCAGTCTGCAGATGCTCGTGCTGAAACTACCTCCGCTCAGACTGCTCACTGCCACTCGTTTTGCTGCATGGCCGCGGTTTCGGAACACCATAGAAAGCTGGATGCTGTCCCGACTGTGCCGAACCTTTAACGGCGAAAATGATGGCAATTGCCCAGCCAAGTCGAACCTGGCTGCTGAGCGACAAGCGCTTGAGGCCTGAAGCTCAGCACACGTAAATATCTTAAATATCCACAAATCTCTTGGCTAGCTCAAACACTTCGAGGGCCCCGACACGCCTCTAGTCTGAAAGCGCATTTAGCCGGGTTCTGCCTGTCATTGCCTTCTTTAAAGACCGAATTGCTCAATGGCGGATTTGCCCGTGTAGAGGCCGGCGGCAATCTGCCCGAGGGCCGCAAACATCGCGATCCTGCTGATACAAGTAATGCTGCTGCTTGACAGGTATGCGGTTTTGGCGGGGGGACTCCCAGGCTATGCTACGTACGGACCTTCAGAAGAACCAAACACCAAAAGCACTGTGCGACCTGCTCTCGAAAAACACAGAAACAGCCAGACCCGCAATACCCGATCACGCTCCTGCCATTGTTGATCTCGCGGTTGCGCATCTCATCAGAGTAATGTTTTGAAAGTGGCGACAGCAGGATGCCAACGTCCTCGCTGTCAAGATTGCCCGAAACAGCAAGCCGTAGCAGAGCGAGAAGTCGATGCAGACGGCAACACTGGCAGGTTTATGGAATAAACGCCTCACCATTGAACCGTGAGATACAACACACAGACAGAGACCACCATGGAGAAGAAGGTGCCCAGAAAGATGCCCTCCGCAGGGATCAGCAGCCGAAGAACAGCACCACGAAGTGAGCAGCCACAGCTGCGCCCCAAGGAAGTTCCCGAAGGAAAGCCGCCCAGCATTGAGCAGCTTCGCAACCGAAATCGAGCATCGCCGCATCAAGCGATACACACAGACAGAGACCAGCATGGAGAAGAAGGTGACTAGAATGAAGCCCTCCACAGGGGCCTGTTACCGATGAACAGATCGAACAGCGTCACGAAGTGAGCAGCCGCAGCTGCGCACCAAGAAGGTTCCCGCAGGAACGCCGCCCATCATTGAGCAGCATCGCAATTGAAGTCGAGCATCGCCGAACTAGCAGCAAAAGGCTGCAGCACCAAACGAATTAGAACCAGCGGAGCGGAGTCCGCCGGGAGCCAACCACCAACCACCGTCTAGCCCACGACGAGCCAGAGGTAACAAAACCAAGACAAAATTGACGGCTAGCCACACACACGCACGGTGGCCTCAAACGTCGTCAGCGACACAAGTGTCTCCCTATCCACACCTGCGTAGGAAGTGTGACGGCCTAGGTAAAGCCGGGCAGGCACGGCCGAGCCGTGGGAGGCGCGCCAAAGCCTCCTCCCAAACAGAAAAGCAGCCCGTAGGCACATTCCTCACGACCTTGGTAAGGCCGGCGCAAAGCAAGCTCGCCCGTGGGCTGCCTGCATGCGCGCCCCGGCGCCGGCCACCGAAACACCTAGCGCTCACGACCCGGGAACGGCCGTCGCCCGGCGAGCTGAGCTCGAGCCGAGCTCCCTGTTAAGCAGGCCACCACCACCCACTCTTACGATGCAGGTTTCACCGTCCGGAGTAATTTCTTCCAGGTTGATTCCCGCCGCTGCTCCATACAGCGGCCCCTCCCCGGAGAGGGATAATCATCTCCAACCAGAGGCAGGGGATTGCCAAAGTTGCCTCGGCAAAGTAGGCAAGCAAAGCAGAGCCACAATCGGGGACCGAAAGTCACCAAGTTCAACATCCCAAGATGAAGGGCGTAAGCTACCAACCACACTAGACACCTGTCACATGACATCCAAGTTGCCTGGCTCTTTGCTGTCGTCCTGGACGAAGACGGCCGCCTCCAACACCGCGATGATGGCGATGGTGATGAGGAAGCCCGTTTGGCCGGCACCTGTGCTGAAGGCCGAAATGTCCTTCGGCACGCCCTCCATGCCGGGCAGCTGCACCAAGCTCTGCGTCAGCATTCCGAGGGCTCCCATCATGGCCAATCCTGGATTACTGCCGGCTGCGGTATATGATAGATGTACCCTCAAGACTCAAGCCGAGACTCCGAAGTCTCCGTTAGTCGAGGCTTGAGAATCAGTCAAAAAAAGCACCACAAGAATAGCTTCGACATCAAGGACAAAGGCTCTGCCGTGCTTGAGCTCCTTGGCTCGCAAATCCTTAAAGGAAGCCTCGTCCTTGCAGAAACCGGCCGGATCAAAGAATCCCAAGGGCTCAGTGACGCCAACCTGTGCCTCAGATGATTCACGTTAGGACTAGCAGCCTCCGAAGACTGTCAAGCTTGGCACGGCCCCTCAGCCCTTAGCATCAGATGTGTCGCCAAAGTGCCTCAGGGCTGAACTTGCAAGCCACGGTCTTGCGGGCAGTCGGCTTCTTGGTGCCCACAAAGCCATCACTGCAGCGCCCGTCGTGGCTGAGACGGCCAGCGCCGAGTACTGGTAGGTGCTGAAGCTGGACTCAGCCTTCACAGCTGTTGAGCCTCGAAGGCTGGTGACGGCGTGGGAGGCTCCCGGTGCCACGAAGGCGTCGGCGCAAGGCGCAGCGAGGAGGCCCGCAGCGATCATGCTCTTCACGGAAGCCATTTCTGGTACTGGAGTCCGAGAGAATCTGAAGTAGCGAAGCGCAAGATGGGCCGCTGTCAAGCCAAAAGGGTCTCACCGAAGGTACCTCCGCAGAACGACCGAGCACGCTGTCGCCCGAACCCTCATCACGTAAACATCTGCAAGTAAACATCTGCAGCAACCTCGTCAGATGCATGTACATGCAGTCAACAGCAGCAACACACCCGCGGAGAGCTTTGGCTGTGGCAGCGAGGGGGGGGGCCCTCGGCACCGGCCTTCACTCCCAGCACCATGCAGGACGCGGAGAGAAGTCGCTTCTTGGCCTCGAGAGCAGCACGACCGCTCCGCGCTGGCTCCACTCAGAGACCCTCCTAAAGAGGGCCTCGGCGGCCCTCTTTGCAGCAAGCTGGTCGACCTCCGAGGACACAGATGCTCAGAGCCTTGAGAACGCTCCTTCCCGCTGTTTTCTCGCGCATCTCTGAGCCGGGGACGGTATCCTGCTTCTGGGCAGTGCTGCCTGTCAGGCTCGCAGTGCCACATAGTGCCACATGCCAGGCCCAGCAACTTTGAAGCAAGCCACCCGCCTGGAGTGCTGGTCGTACTTATGGCTTTAACGGCCTGAGAAAAGAAGCGAAGAAGAGGACAAAATGTACTTATAGCGGAGTTCGGCGATTTCTGCCTCACTCAGCGCCCGCAACTGTTCCAGGATCTCCCGGTCCACCTCACGGAGTCCTCCGGAGCACGGCCAGCGCGGCCCGGCGAGACGCGCTGATGTGTCGGTGTCCGCAAGGCCTTCGGGTGGCGTCTCCTGGAGCCTCGCCTGCGTCAGAGCAACTCACTGCTTGAGTCATCGGACAGCATACCACAGCATGCGAATTGCTTGAGCATCTTTGACTCTCATGGTGCGTTGCGCCCAAGACGAAGGGCCCTCTGCGAGAGTCTTCGACTGTCACCGGGCATGGGCGGCTTCTTCACACCGCGAGGCTAAGATTTGAGCTATGTACAACAGCTGAAGCTTGTCAGCTTAGCCACTCTTTGATCTCAGCTTTGGCACGACGGTGCTCCTCACCGCTTCAAACTCAGGTACTTGCAAGGAAGCCCCTGACACACAAAGGCCCTTGGATGTCTCTGGGTCCTTGCACTTCTGGTTGTTAGCTTTGGCAGGCTTTTTCCTTAAATCGCGTCGTGAGACATGAGCGGGGAGAACGCATGAAGCACTTGGGCATAGCAAGATGCACGACTGAGTGTTGGGCTTCTGCTGCTTCTGCAAGTTAGCTCGTGCCTGTATTGCCAAGATCGCTGGTGCAAAGAAGTTCCTATCGGTGTGCTGAGAGGGCATGCAACATTACAGTGATGGGGCCTCTTTGGCTGTCTGGCGCTTGCGCACCCGTCGTCCGCCTGTGTCGACACCTGCACACTGTGGTGAGCTGACGATGTCTGAAAGCACTGCGATTCAATAAGTTTCACAGACCAGTCATAGGTCTCCAGGCATGCATATTTGTATCAGCAGGTTCTTCGAAGTGACCGACTTCACAAAGATCACTAATCTGCGCCAGGGAGGCTGACTTGTCCTGGCGCTGCCTCCTCCTTCGCCAGGAGTAGCTACACATGTCACAAGCTATGCCGCAGGTTCGAGGATACAGCAGACCGGTCCTCGCTTTCCTCTCCATCACTATCCTCATCTTCCTCTTTCGCCCTGATGGGAAGTGCAGCATGGACTGTTGCCGAGTGCACCCTTCAGCGGGAAGGAGAGACTATGCAGCCCAGCGACTCATCAAGAGCAGCCGGTGGATCTGCCTGCGGCGCGGCCTCGCCTGCAATGGAGATGCAACACCCGGCTGAATCATCTTTGACGACATCGAGGCTAAGGTTGCTGCTGGCCGCCAGCACCTGTCCAGGTGAGCATTGTCTGCCGTGAGAACCTACTCGATTTTGAACAAACGAATCATCATCACTGCCTCAGCTTCTGGAGGAGCACAGGCAGCTTCCTATGCCCGTGCTCCCTGCACTTCTTAACTAGGCTTTGATTTATGAGCCCTCCGGGTGGACAAGCCTCGTCCATTTTGCAGTCCTGTCCACACGGAACAAGTGCACAGCCAAGTGCGGGAAAAAGGATTGCAAGGCCCATCCTCTTCCAAAGCCTGTCTGCTTCCGGCCGCTAAGAGATCTTGGAGCCCCTCCTGGCATCACACTGGCAACCCGTCACCACCTTCTTCGCCTACCGTACCCGCCTGGACGGCTGGCCGAGCAGGGGGCTGGAAGGCCATGGCCTGAGGGGTGGAAGTTTGATGATTATTTATCGCCGGGGGCGCTTGTTGGAGGCAGGCCTCCCTGTGTTCGTCCGGGTGCTCCTCCACCTCCTCTGCGTCCTCCTCGTCCTCGTCCTCAATGCCCCCGTCGGAAGCCAGGAGAGGGCCAGGACAAAGGAAGCAGCACTTTTCCTCCGCTCCGTCTTCGCGATGAGCTCGGCCTTGCTCGTGCGCGGCAACCTCCGGCAGGGCAAAGGCGGCAAAGGGCACAACACCCGGCTGAGAACGAAGGACAGTGAGAGAGCCCGGCAAGCAGAGCGTCTTCCTCCGCCTTGAAGCCCGTGACCTTGCTCCAGTTTTTGGCTTGGCGAATCAACGAGATCTACAAGGAGGTGCGGGCCTTCAGGCCCCCAGAAACTTCCTCTTCTCGGTCATCCTCTAAGGCCTCCGCAGCTAACGATAGCATTGGTCTGAGGTGCACTCCCGTGGTTGGTAAGGAATCTCATGCCATTGCTGGTGTGTCCATCCTTACCGCTGCATGGCCCTCTCGCAGCCACCGTCCTCCTGAAATGTCGGCCACTCTTGCACCTGCCATCCAAGACAAATCCATGAAAACCCTCTCACCCTCTGAATCATGTTAGGCTGGGCCTCGATGTTGAGCCGCTTCCGGAAGAACTCCACGATCTCAGCGCGCTGCTGTGCAAAAATCACTCAGGAATCCCGGAGGCACTTCCTCAAGCTGAGGCATCAGGCAGATCTGACATCTCTGTCAAAGAATTCCTGCAACGGCGTGGTGGTTAGGGGCATCACGATAGCAAGCGTCTGCGACCCCGGTCCTCTGCATTCGGGTGGCTGTTGTATACAATCTGGGGAAAGTCAATTAAGGTGACTTTCTCATCCTGGACGAGAAGCAACTAGCTGACGAGGTTTTCAAGGACACCTTGCTCACAGTCGAAATGCCTCATCCAGCATGAGGTTGAACTCATTGAAATCGCCGTGAACGATGCCAGCTCTCAGCAACCTGCTCAATCGAATCGCATTCCTGGACCCCCGGAGACCTCGATTGCTGTGCGAGAACTGGCACGAACCTGACGACGAGCCTCATTAGGTGCTCCAACACCTCCGCTGAGCGAATCCGCCATGCGCTTGGCCCGTCCCTTGGCCCGTGCCTGGTTTGGATGTTGAAGCTGCCGCAGCTGGAAAAGAGGCTTCGCATCGACCTGACATCCGGCTGAGTGTCGCTCCGACTGTGTCGTCCGGTTGAGGGCATCACGAAAGACATCACCACAGCGTGGCGGTTTTGATCGATCGGAGTGGGAACAGGAAATCCCTCGTCCTGCAACGTCAACGATTGAAATCCCCCAGACAACTGGCATTCCGAGTCAAAACCAGTGCGAGCGAGTCCTTGAGAGCTTTCATGTACGCGAACTCCTTAGCCGCGGCAAGCTTCGCCATGTACATCCACGATGCGTGGACTCGATGCCTCGGGCACGCAACGACTTGAACAATCAAGTGGTCTTGAGTCTACCTGCAAAGGCCCCCTCGATGCACCACACCCCGGCCTCAAGTAGTCTCGTTTCTCCTTGATGGCTCGGAAACTGATTCGACCTCGGAAGCAGATTTCGAGGCACAACCACCTAAATGCCACGCCGTCACACGCTGTCACACGCTGTGGCCATGGCCAAGTCTGTGAAGCTTCAAGGCCACAAGCTCCCCGTCGGGTCCCTGCACCGCCCCACGACCACGACCGAAGGATGGCTTTTCAATCGAATTCCTGACGTGCCTGTGCATAGTGAACATCGGACTCCTTCCCGACCTGGTCGAATCGCAGCAAGCTTTGTCTTCGGTTTCCTAATTCCGTGCGTTAGCCCAGGTTGCACAGCGGTCTAGATGTAAACAAGGAGAGACAGGAACGGCCTCAATGGACTTGGTTCCTGAGCTTCCGGCGCCCAGCCTTCGACCGACTGCAGTAAGAGTGCCACGAGCCGCCAGCGCCTCCCCAAGCAAAGCGCTTAGCAGCTATAGCAACTCCGGGCATGTGCTCTCCGCTGCGGCCCACCCTCAAGGCCAGGAAGTCGTAGCCGTGGTAGGTCAACCGCCACCCATCATAGCTCTGCCCTGAAGGACTGCAGAGCTCCCTCCCAGCGCAAGCTGCCAGATCTAAGGCCAAAGCCGTCGTGAGCCACTAACCTGAACTGCAATTCACGCGTGAGCTGTGCATCGCGGCAAGTTCGACACCCGACGTGCTATCCAAAATGGTACGACAGACAGGTCCTCTTTTCGGAGTGGTATGAAAGCGCACCGCGCTAGGTCCACCGCCTTCGCCAGACCAGGGCTGTACGGCGCCGGAGACGCTTTCTGCATCCCGGCCCGTCGCCCGCCAACGAGCGACGACCCTTGAGTCTCTGAAGAAATAAATAGGGTGGAGTGGAAGGGAACTGAAAAACGTCGGGCGACGCAAAGCCAGCAACAGCCGTGGCATATGCATCGGATGCGCCGGACTTGTCCCTTCACACATTACAGCAACATGCGTTACACAACAAGCGGATCAGCTACTGGGCCAGGCACTTGTTGCGGAGGAGGTTTTGCAGAATCTTGTAGCAGCTGCTCCGATCTGGGTTCGCATCGCTCAAACAGACTACACCGATGCACACAGCTTAAGCTTGGGAAGAGGCTGATCTTCGCAATGCTCTCAACCAATGGAGTCGGAACGTGCTCGTGGTTCCTTCAAAAGATGAAACAGGAAGCAATCGGAGAGCTTCTATGGCTGCCATCAGCCTCATTCCCATCTCAACCGCCGTGAGAACTCTGAACTCCTCCTTGGTGATGTACCGGAACATCGTCACCTCGGTACAGCTGACCACCTGAAGACCTCTCCTTGCAAGGATCTGCAGAGCCAGAGCAATGACTCCAAGAATTTGATGCTCCGAGGCGGTTGCATCGAGCTTCATGGCTCCAAGCTACGGAAGCTTGGCAGGAAAGCCCGGGGTGGAAGATTCTCTTCTGCTTCAGTCTAACACATGCCGGGGGGATGAGACCGGATGCCCGGGGGAGTATAAGGGGCGCTGCTCTTTGCATCTGCGGACGGTACAGTAGCTGTCGCCATGGGGGCCCTGCGGTGGCGATGCGCCGCACGGTGCTACGTTGTGCTACGCCGTGAAAGAACCATCAAGCCAAGAGCCAGAGTTGGGAACCGACGGCGCTGACTCCGAGCCAAAGAGCAAAAGCATCAAAAAAGGAGACGGGAAGTGCTTCTGTGGCCTCGGACTGGCGAGGCGAAGGATCCACCCGCCTGAAAGGCCGCCAAAGCCCAGAGAGTTTGGTTTCGCCTTCGTCTCGAGCTCCGGGCGGCGTTGATGTCAGCCCGGTCCAATTCGAGTCCCTTGGGCTCAGCCTCGTCAGGGCTGGAAGGACTCTGCATCGCGGCCTCGGCCAACTGCAGCTGGAGCCACGGTCTTGAAGCGGCCTCGACTATGAAAACTCCCTCCGAAACGATCGGGAACGATGGATCTGTTGAGGTTCGGGCGTCTGGTAAGAGGGGCCGGGCCTGGGGCGGCTCCCCTGGAAGGCACAGAGCTTCCGCGAGGCCACCCTGCACTTCTCGCGCCTTGAAGCACGGCACCAAGAATGGGATGATGTCGAAGCCATGGCGAAATCGGCGCTGCAGTCCGAGGCCTCGAAAAGCATTATAAGGGCCTTCTTGGCTGACTGTTCATGACATCATAGATCTCTCTTCAGATGCGGCTCGAAAGACTCCTTCTGCCCGTGAGCTGGGAGTGGCACCCCGAAGGTGGGAACGATTCCTCACAGTCTCTCACAGTGCAACAGCTTAGGCACCCCCCACGCTCTACGATCTCCCCGCGCTCTACGCTTGAAAGTGAACCCCATTCCCGCTACGCGCAAGCTCTTCGGGAACCGTCCTGCAAACTTCGGAGTGGCTCTTCTGCTTTCACCTGACTTGTCCACTTCTGCCTTCCATGAAGGGAAGGCTGCTGTACAGACGCGGCCTGCACAGGAGCCCGCTCACTTGGGGGATCTGCTGTGACCTGCAGCAATTTGTCCCATCTGCAAACTTGAGTGGCATGCCCTTGCATTTCGCTACGTCATGCACCTGCAAGAGCCTTTGACCAGTGATCTGCAAGTTGTGCAGATCCACCGCCTCGAGATTGGCAAACCAGGGAAAGTCAATAGATTGGAGTCAGCGAGCCAGCGGCCGTGGCTCGGAAGCTGCCGCGTGGCCACACAGACAGGGCCTCACTGCGGGATGCTTCGCCAAAAACAAGCGCAGGTGACTGGTCCCATGGCTGTGAGCAGAACGTCTTGCAGCCATGGCGGGCCTGCAGGCTTAGAGGCTCAGAGGCCCTGAAGAACAGAAGGGCCCTGAAGAAGGGTGCCGC